GGGCCCTCCATGCCTAGCAGAGACCCTCAGGCAGGCCCTCCACTCAGCAGTGACCCTCAGGTGGGCCCTCCACGCCCAGCAGTGACCCTCAGGAGGGCCCTCCACGCCCAGCAGAGACCCTCAGGAGGGCCCTCCACTCAGCAGTGACCCTCAGGCGGGCCCTCCACGCCTAGCAGTGACCCTCAGGCAGGCCCTCCATACCCAGCAGTGACCCTCAGGCAGGCCCTCCCCGCCCAGCAGAGACCCTCAGGAGGGCCCTCCACGCCCAGCAGAGACCCTCAGTAGGGCCCTCTACTCAGCAGTGACCCTCAGGCGGGTCCTCCACGCCTAGCAGTGACCCTCAGGCAGGCCCTCCATACCCAGCAGAGACCCTCAGGAGGGCCCTCCACGCCCAGCAGAGACCCTCAGGCAGGCGCTCCATACCCAGCAGAGACCCTCAGGAGGGCCCTCCATGCCCAGCAGAGGCCCTCAGGCAGGCCCTCCACGCCCACCAATGATCCTCAGGTGGGCCCTCCATAGCCAGCACTGCCCTGACTCAGTTCAGCTGGGTGTTACAAGCTGCCTATTAGTTAATCCACCACAACACATTTTGCTTACCCATGAATCATCTCACCTGTATTTAGTTTTTTTCCATTTTCTGGCTGTGAGTGTTGACATTATGAACATTTGTGTCCATGTTTTTGTGTGGACAAATATATTCAATTATGAAGAGTATATACTTGTGAGTGGAATTGCTCATTTATATGGTGATGTTACTTTTAAAAAATGTTTTAACATTTTAATGACTGAAGAAAACACATATGTGGACTTTCAAACTCTTCTCCCAAATGCTAAGCACTGCATTCCCATAATTCCCCACAGCTGCCCTAGGTATGGAGCAGCCGTGCCATTTTAACTCTCAGTGGCAACTCATGAGGACTTCAGCTTCTCCACATCCAGCCCAATGCCTGTTATTTACCGTCCCGGTTTCTGTGTATAGCTATGCTAGCGGGTGTAGAGTAGTGTCTCGTTATGGGTTTGATTTATATTTCCCTTTGACTAATAACGTTGGGCATCTTTTCAAGTGCCTATTGGTCACTCCAAAATGCATTCTTACTGAAGTATCTACCCAAATTATTTGCTCATTTTTTAGTTGGGAGAGAAACGCTTTTGAGGAAAACGAAAATTAAGTGTAACACGCTAGAGAGAAAGAGGGGCACTAGTTTTAGAAAAGGGAGAGAACTCAGGGATGGGGAAGGAGCATCAGACAAAGACAGGGAGGAGCGTTCAGGGCAGAGGGAGCCACAGGGCTATGAAGGAAGCAGAGCGCTGCTGCAGTGGAGTAGGGAGTGGCAGGCAGGAGGGTCCACAGGAAATAGGGTGGTCTAGAAGGCTCTGCGAGTGAACACACCACAGCCAAGACCTGGCAGCTCTCAACAAGTCCATCACTCTTGTGTCTTCCATAGGGTCACTTGGAAAGTCCTAGTGCCCCTTCACATCAGCTGACCCCCTGGATGTAACGGTTGATAGCCTGTGTCAACTTGAGAAGTTTAATGAAGCAGGAGGGCAGAGATGGTGTGAGTGCTACACCCGCCCTGGGGGAGGTAGCCTGCTTACAATATAAGGAAAAGAGGCTTGCTCTCCCCTCTTTTGCTGTCTTCCATCACCATGAATTGCTGCCCTCTGCCAAGCCACCCTGTCTTGGAGCCAGCTGATTATAGCCTGAAACCTCCTCAAACTGAGCTAAATAAACCTTTCCTTACTTAATTTTGGGTGTCTGGTATTTTGTCTCAGCAATAAGAGAAAAGTAACCAAGATGCAGTAAATAAAGATATGACTCAGATGGAAAGGGAAGGAGGCCTGATCACTTAATGAGAAAGAAAATACTGTAAGTGGAAACTTAACTATAATTGTCAAAGTACATGGGATTGGCCAGGTAAACAGAATTGTTATCATAATTGTACTTTCACTGAGACAGTAAAAGCTACAGCTCTTTTAACCATTTTAAAGAGAAAAAAACTTTTTTAAAAATTCAAAACAATAGGAGAGTAACAATGATTAATACATTGTGTATTGTTATCTTTAATTACTCAAGAGTATAAGATATAGGCACTTAATTGTCCAAGCCATATTAGTACAAACACTTTTAATGAATTAAGAGAAATTAGTATTATAACTACGTTTTACGGTGTATATATATATATTTTATTGTTTTGTTTTTCCCTTCCTTTTCTTCCTTTCTACATCGCGGTTTCTCTTTACAGCTTGGTTTTCTTAATATTAAAAAGTTGAACTTCAGCATAGACCCTAGAAAAGGAGCTAGCTGTCTCTCAGGATGGGTGTAATCGTCATTTGTCAGCAGGCGCTACTGGCTCTGTGCCAATCACAGCACACAGTTCCTCTGGCCCTTCCTTTAGTTACTCCCCATCTGCCCACATACCCAGATCTCCTTTATACTCCTACTGCCGCAGCTTGGATACCTCCAGGATCCTTCGTTCCTACAGAATCCTCCAAGGCACTGAAGTTTACCCCACAAGGAACAGCTCTGTTCGTGGACTCTTTCCCTCTCTACGTTTCTCTCCACTTTTCCAAGACTGTGTTTATAGTGAAATAAACACAACACTTACCACTTACTCATTTTTGTGAGTACAGAAACAGTCAATAGGGCTGCACTGTTCCCTGACCAGCATCACCTTCCACCCACAGCGCTTCACCTTGACAAACTGAAACTCCATAGGCATCAAATAGTAATTCCTCCCTTCTCCTCAGCCCCTGGGCAACACCATCCTGTCACTCCAGACCTACCAAGATGTGAACTCTGGCCCGCACCCAGAAATCTGCATTGAAATACGTCCTTCAAGAGAGTCTAACACCCACTAACACAGTAGTTGGTTTTTTTTTTAACACAGTAGTTTTTAATACATTTTCAAATTGTAAAATTATCATCCTATGTGTAATCACTCCCTCTTTTCTTCCTTTCCTCCCTAGTGCCAGTTAACCACTAATCTTACAATTTTTTGATTGAAAAAAAAAATCACAACTAAGGTTGGAGATGTAGCCCATGCCTAATGTGATTAAGATCTAGCATTTTTAAAAATTGTAATTAAAGGCCTGTCCCTCTTAGGAACACCTCTGAAGGCCAGCAGAGTAGCTTAGGTATATTTGACACTACAGAAATAAACCAAGGTGGCTACTATACAGAAATCTGAATCATTTCCATGCTTACTACGCACTCACTGCTTTACATAACCTAGGTTTTACAGTGATGGGTTTCCTTTTTATGTGATGAGCCTCATTTCAAGACTCAATTCTGAACTATTTGAGGACAACGATCACGTTTTCTACTTTGGCGAACCTTTTCACTGAATACTGAACTGGCTAACAATCACGTTGTAGAAGACAGAGCACATTTAGCGCCTCTATTATAAATCAGTCAGGGACTGTCGGGCTGCAGAAGGATGCTAAACCGAAGACAACATAGTTCGTGTCTTTATCCACCCATGGTATCCCATTAAACGAGGGCTGGCAGACACACAAACATAACACAGACGTAATGCAGTGTCCTAAAACACAGCCCAATAGAACTCTAAGCAATGTATTCTGGGCACCCGAAGAAATTAGTTATGCTATTTATAAAGGCGACATTTTTACCTAAATATACCTTTCTGGGTCCCGAGACAGGTTTCTATGGCTAGACATAGTGGTCAGAGACTAGAACTGGTATTCACAAATACAAAGATGCTTCTAGCAAAAGCTCCAAAATGTATGTTTAGAATTTGATGTCTCCAAAGAGTCACGTGCGCAGAGGTGAGGTGGAGCCACCGGATCCCGAAGGCCCTTGCGAGCAGCAGACCGACCTGCGGGTGGATCCCCGCCCCACCCACTGTGGTGGTGGGCGTGGCCTCCCTCCCGGCCCCGCCCTTTCTATTTCCGGGCTGCCGAGTTGCGCGCAGCTTTCTCTGCTGAACTCTTCCACGCTGCCCTTCCCACCTTAAAGCCCGCCAACTGTCAACAGGAACCTTTAAACACTGTGAGCCAAAATAAATCTCTCCACCTTCAGGGTGCGGATGTCGGGTATTTTGTCCCAGAAATGAGAAAGTAAGACGGTGTAGAAGTGCATCACTGACTGAGGTGTCTTAAATGCCGACCTAGGGGACATGTGTGCTTTGAGTGTAGGTCAAGATGCACTTTAAAGGTCCATGGCATGGTACGCCCGGTGGTTCCCAAATATCGATGCATCTTGTAAATCAGCTAGAAAGCTTGCTTAAAGGTATACTGATTTCTAGCATGCACACTAGACTTTCTAAATAAAAACCTATGGGATGATGCCGCAGGATCTTTCAGGAAGATCTTTATTATTATTATTATTATTATTTGCGGATAGTAAGCAGGGTAATTAGACAGAGTCTTAAAGTCAGAAAGCAATTGAGGGTTATAAAAATACTCCAGGAGACAGAAGAAAATCTGAAGAGTGGCAGGACCCCTATGGGAAGAAAGAAATGTACCATAAGGTTGTAGTTGATAGGATTTGGACAGTGAATGGTGAATTAAATCACTCTTAATCTTCCTAACTTCTGTTTCAGTGATCTGAATCAGATTTGTACCTCTCCTTTCTGCGTGTTCTCCTATTCTCCGGAGCAACCAGTTTATTTTAAGAAGCGTTCTCTGCCTGTGAACAAGCTCAGCATAGTTCATCCACCTGTCATAGAGTCCCATGAACAGCAGGTGGCACTTCTGGGCTACATCTCAATTTCCAAATTTGAACATCACAAGCTGTCATGACCAGAACTGAAAAACGCAGCAGGGCTGAGGTGAATGCTCTCAATATCTTTTTTAAAAATTATTTATGCATTTATTTATTTGATACAGGGTCTCACTATGCCTTCTTCAACCCCCTTATATACCGTTTTTGTGTTTCCACTCTAGGTTGGGCTCCACTGTCCCCCCTGCCCTAAGGCACCTCCCCCCAGGTCATGGGATGGCCAAGCCGAACCAGCCAAGCTTCCTTCTGACATCTCAAGTTGACACAACACATCAACCAGCACAGGTGTCAAAAGGTGTAAGAGACCTACGCTGGAGTAAACACCTCGTAGTTACAGGACAAACCTTTAAAGATCAATTTTAGATGGTGATATAATGTAAACCTACCCCCATCTACTGAACTCAAAGGCATGGGGGGGTGCTTTCCATCTCACTCCTCATTTTTTCCTTCCTTCCTTCCACTAATGAGCTGTTTGCTGCGACCCTCCAGTGAGATCTCGGGGCTGGGGTTACACAGCGCTGCTGTGGCATTGGACCCGATACACAGAGGACTTGCTAAGCAGCCACTCGGTATTCAGAGCACCCATTTCACAGCACTGCCTCGTTCATAACCTGCCCTATTTCTCATCTTGCTGATCTATCTTTAAAAGATGTATTTTTCAATAACGGGGGGGGGGAAGTAAAACTTTAAGAGCTTAGAAAAAAATCAAAACTTACGTTTTCTTTGGTTTTGAGACAGTTTCTCCATCTTTTTCTTCTTTGCCTCTAAATGTGCTGTGTCCAATATTAGACAACTCATGGCATGAAAGATCTGAGGTCTTAATGACTACTCCTGTTTCCAACTATACTGTACTTTTTTATTGTGCAGAACACACATGGAAATAAAACTTACCACTTTAATAATTTTTTTCTGTATTTAGGACAGGGTGTACAGGTCTCACTGTGTAGATCAGACTCAGTGATCCTCCTGTTTACAACCTCCCAAGTGCTGGGATTACAGGCACACCCAGTCTCCATTGCCTTCTCAGCACACCCCGGAGGGGCAGGGCTAGCACCGCAGGCGGGGTGGATCGAACTCCCCACTCCTGTGGCTGTGTAAGCAGACACTTAATCTGCTGCGCTGTTTGGCCAGCCCATCACTTTAATAATTTTAACTGTAGGATTAACTGGCTTTAAGCACATTCAAAATGTATCTGTCTCTAAAACATAATCTCAAATAGAAATTCTGCCCATTATGCAGTAATTCCTTTACCCCCACACCCAATAATCTCTATTGTCTTGTCTCTACAAATCCATCTATTCTAGGAACCTTAAATCAATGAAATCATGCAACGTGTTTTCCTTACTGTGTGGCTTACACTTCACACACTTTGAGGTTCTACCTGTGTGGTAGCATATATCAGAATTTCATTCTTTTTATGACTGAGTATTTCCTTTTATGTATATAGCATTTCCTTTGCCCATTCAGTTGTTGGACATTTGCTTGCTTCTTGCACCTCGCTACTGTTTATAACACTGCTATACACATCAGTGTACAAGGAGCATTGGGAGTTCCTGCTTTCAGCACCTGTGGCTGTAACTGGCGGCAGACTTGCTGGGTTCTAATTCTGCACTTAAAATTTTGAAGAACTGTCAAATGGTCTTCTACAGTGCTACACCATTTTACATTCCCACTAGAATTCGGCATTATTTGTCTTTTAAAGCAAGCCAGACCTTTAAAAAAAAAAAAAAAAAAAAACAAAACACTAGACCAGGAATAAGTAGCAAAGTTTATTTATTTATTTTAGGAAAGGGTCTACAGGGTGTTCAGGGTCTCACTACTAGATCAGACTCATAGTGATCTGCCTGTTTTTTTTGTTTTGTGTGTGTGGTTTTTGTTTTTTTTGGCAGTACAGGGGATTGAACTCAGGACCTTGCACTTGCCAGGCAAGTGCTTATTCTACTGAGTTATCTCCCCAGCCCAATCTGCCTGTTTACAGCCTCCCAAGAGCTGGGATTACAGGCACACACCACCACATCCAGTCTCAATGGCTCTCTCAGTGCACCCCTGGTGGCAGAGCCGGCACAGCAGGCCTGGGGATCGAACCCCCGGCCCCTGCGCCCGCTTGCAGGTGCTTTAATCCGCTAAGGTATTTGGCCAGCCCAATAGCAAAGTTTAGAGTCCTGGCATAGTTTGGTGACAGGCTGTGGGTACCAATACTTCTGTTGTATTTTTAGCATCAGGGATGGAGCCCGGGGCTTTGGGCATGCTGAGTGGTGCCCTATCACTGTGCTACATTCCCTAGCTCTGGTAGCAACAGTCTTAACTCATTAGCTCTAACCATAGATTAGAGCAATAATTCTTTTTTCTTTTTTGTCTTGAGACAGGGTCTTGCTATGCAGTTCGGGCTGGCCTTGAAGCTCAGTTTGTGGCCTAGGCTGGCCTCAAACTCTCAGCAATCCTCCTGCCTCAGTCTCCCAAGTGAATAATTATTAACATACAGAGCTCAGGCTCCAGAGCAACCACTTAAGGGTATTCTTACACCTGCAGCACCCTATAGCCCACCGATGCATGCTGAGTCAGCTCTGAGAATGAAGCCCTTCAGTCTGCCCTGCAAGTCCTGACAGGAGACTCGGGCTCCCTATCTAGAGCGCTGAGTCCTGGAGGGCCAAGAAAACACTTTAGCCATCTTTGTATTCCTCCAGGCCAGACATGCAGTAGATATTAAGCAAATGTGTTTTAATTACACACTGCGCTGCAATCTAAGGCCACTTTCTATCTGTTTAATTGCCCTGTATAGCAGTCATTAAAACTGAACTCAAGTCGTTCCACAATTAGTCAAGAAACCTGTAATTACAGCATGTAATACCTCTGATTTGGCTAAAACATGTATCCCAGTAGTTGTGGTCTACCATGCTTTTGGCTACCAGTTTTTTTTTTTTTGTTTGTTTTTGTTTTTGAGACAGGGTCTTTCTATGTCACTCAGGCTAGCTTTGAACTCACTATGGAACTTAAATTGGCCCTAAATTTATGGTGATCTTCCTGCCTAACAAGGTGTGTGCCACCAGGTCCCGCCCCCAGGAAATCTTCATGTACTTTTTTTAACCCTTCCTCAAAGTATGAAAGAACATATGTCCTTCACGCTCAGAGGTAAGGATACGGACATGGAGAGCTCTCAGCACAGCTGCTCAGATTAATATCTAAGAATGAAGTTTATGGGGTTGGAGAGATGGCTCAGTGGTCTAAAGCACCACACGCCAGCCAGCCGCGCCCCCTGGTGGGCTGAGCTGGCCACACACACACAATAAATGTTAAAAAAAAAATTTTTTTTTAAAGAATGAAGTTTATAACTTGCGAACAGTGACAGCAGTTGTAAGTCCATCAATGTCGCGGTTGCCAAGGCACAAACGACAGCATGTATACGAAGCCTGGGGCAGAAATGGCTGCAGTTAGTCTGGCCTAGAAACTTGCAAACATACTGCACAGCGCTCCTGTTTACTACTCTTAAAGCAGACGTAGATGAGCGGAGGAGGAACCGCAGCAGAACACGAAGCGTGCGCGCACAGGGCATCACGGCGCCGTCCCGCGCAGCCAGCATGTGCGTCCACATCCCGCAGGGGGCAGCACGTGGAAAACCAAGGCTCACATTAAGGCGCACTCAGGCTTAACGCGCCCCAGCCGCGACCGGGAACCTTATGGGGCCTTCCGCGGCACACACCGCGCGCTGCACGGCGCCAAGGCTCGCCACCCGCCCGGGGCCCGCGGGGAACACGTGGGCGCGGCCTCGTTAGCGTGCATGGAACTCCGACTGCATCGATCGCAGGCTCACGGAGCCGACCCATCCGGGGTTCTCTAGACTGAGCTGCTTGACACTGAAGGGATCTTGAGCGTTAATAAACATTGGCTTCTGCGGGAGGCCGCTCCCGACTCGGAGCTGCCCGCCCGCTCGCGGGCAGATGCCAGCTCCCTCCGGGGCGCGCGCGCGCGCGGCGTCTCGGCGCTCGACTGGCCAGGCCTGCAGCGCGGGATCTGAGCGGCCCGCCGTTGTTGTAGTGACCGGCAGGTGCTGCGGCTCCCGGCAGACGGTTCCGGGCGCCGCGGGGTCCCCTCCTCCCCTGCCCCGTCCCCTTCCCCGGCGCCCCGCTCCTGCATGGCCTCCGCCCGGGTAAGGACAGGCTGGCAGGGCCCAGCCTTGCGGCTCCCGCGGGGTCGGGTCGGGACGCGCGGGCGGCTGGGGGACCTGGCGGCGGCCTTCGCCGCTCGGCCCGGGGCGCCCACCTCACCCCCACTCCCGGAGCCGGGCTCGGAATTCCCCGCGGAGCGCCCGTCAGAGTCCCCGGGCCGGAGGTTTCCTGGGCCGGGCGGGCCGGGGCCTGGGCCGGGGCCGGGCCGCCGCGACCTGACCGCTGTCCCCGCAGGAGGACCCCGCCCTGGAGCGCTGCTTTAAAGCCCACAAGGCCGCGGTCACCTCGGTGGACTTCAGCCCGCACGGCCGACAGCTCGGTGAGTTTTCTTCTCGGCTGCGCGACCCGACCCGAGCGGCGCGTCGTCCTCCCGGCGCGGCGCCCCCTGGCGACCGGGCGGCCCGG